ATAAAAGACAAACTGAATTTAGGTTAGACCAGAGGAAGCACTGTCTGTCTCATTTAATAATGTAAGAAAATGGAAAAAGAAAGTAAAGAAGACTAATAGCTTCTCTTTTTATGAAGGCTTTTATTAAACAGATCCCTATTAGTTTGAACTAGGGTGGAGATTGACCAGCCAGGGCTAGGCCATGAAAAAAGAAGATGATCCATATTTACAGAGAAAGAGAGAGAGAGAGAGAGAGAGAGAGAGAGAGAGAGAGAGATAATCTTTTTTAAAAAGCCTCATTAAAAGCACACTTTCTTTTCTAAGAATCATGACTATCCTAGAAAATGTGGGACATACGGTCACCATACACTAGCAGGGTTTTACCATGTTCATTCATTTGGTGGTGTGTGTGTGTGTGTATGTACATGTGCGTATATAAGGATATATATATGTATGTATATATGATACAAAAATAATAACAATATAATTGACATTTACTTAGTGATTTAAGATTTCCAAAGCAATTTTCATTTTCCCTCAGAAAGCCCTATGAAATACATTCTACATAAATATTTACAGATGAGGAAATAGTTTCAGAAAGGCTAAAGGACTTGCCCATCCCTGATTATATAACTAGTAAATGTCAGAGGTATGATTTGAACCCAGCTCTCTCCTGACTCTGAATCTAACACTCAGTCTATACATGTATTCTACGGATATCCAAATAAGCCTCCTCCTTCTTCTTACTTCTGTCATTTTTGACATTTCCCAAAATTTGGTTCCCTTAATATGAAGAAACATGGAGGAAAATGAGGAAGAGGAAGAAGACAGTGAACAGGAGTAAGAAGAAGCAAGAACCACTAGGCTTTGATTTTCCTTCCCAGGACCGACCAGGGAGGGACTGACTGGAATGCACACAGTCAGTTTCTGCCTGTTATGGAGACAGCTCAGCCCCAGAACTCCAACCCACTGTTTTCTCTGGGCTCTCCCAGGAAGTCAGTCCAGCAGCAGGTGCTGGATGGGCGTGGGCACAGGAGCCAGGAGGTGCCAGGCACAGGGAGGCAGCAAAAGCCCGTCTCTCTGCTGGCTTCCTCTGGCAAGACACTTCACCCAGTTGTTGGTGCCTGTTGCCCAGGCTGAGGCATCCCTCTCTGCACACAGTGATTATTACCAGAATGACAATCTCCTTCTGCCCACTACTCACCAGCTTCCCCCACAGCAGAGCTGGTTTCCCATGGTGCTCTGTCCCCAAGGGTGCTTTTCCGCATAAAAGGATAGTGCATTTCCTGGTTTCCTGTCCAGCCACAAGTGGCTGCTCCCAGAGAGCAGTCTGTCAGTGTCAGGTTTCTCGCCTTGTACAGGGAGCAGGACGGCTTTCCTATGCCACCTGCTGGAAGGATCATCAGGTGGGCCCATTCCCAGACGGGAGAGGAGGGTGCAGGGCCACACACACTTGGCTGGCCTCAGGTGGGAATTGTCTCGTCCTTGAGAATTTGGAGCTTCTTGGATGGAACCTTAAGCTTTGGACTACAAATTCCTATGCAAAGAAACTTGAGGTGGAATAAGGTGTTAGCTTCCAGTACCTGGGAAATTATCCTCCACCTTGTAGATGATGCCTCTGAAAAGGGAGAGCTTGGCTTGCTTGGCTGACTACCTTTTTGAGGCAAGCAGTACCTTGTTTCTTGGACCCCAAATCTTAAGGCAAGGCACGAGCACTGAACACGTGCACCCTGAGGTCTAAAGTTTAAAGACCAGGGTTGGTTGGTATATATAGTTGAAAGATGTGGCTTTGGAGAATCAAGGTTTTGTTTTGAAACCTGGCTCCTGTGTTACCAGCTCTGTGACTATGGGCAAATCAATCTCTCTAAGCCTCAGTTTAATCTTCTGTGAAATAATAATTATAGCTCACATTTATATATTGCTTTAAGGTTTGCAAAGAGCTGTACATAGCTCTTTTGATCCTCACAAAAACCCTGTGAGGTAGGTGCTGTTATTATTCCCATTTTAGAGCTAAGGAAATTGAGGTTACCTGTGTTACCCAGTGTCACTGTGACTAAGACAGAATTTGAACTCAGTTCTAGTGAGCTCACACTTAATTTCTCTTAGCCTGATTTCTCATATGTAAAGGCAAGAAAATCATACCTGTTCTACTCTATGACCACTGCATAGGGTTGATTGAAGGGCAAAAGAGACAATACATGAGGACAGCACTTTGCAAACTGTACAGTACTACAACACTAAATTACAGTACTCTGGTGATGTTTCATACTTCTTGGTATTCTCTACAATGTTTTTCATGATATTATATCAATTGAGTAAGAGTGTTCAGTATTTTTGAGTGAAGGAATAACTGGGGAAGAAGGGCATTGATGTTAAAAATGGCTTCAAGTCAAGGAACACTATGAACTCTGAGAAATGAAGTTGGGGATCTCCCAGACAGCAACAGAAAGGCCCATGGCTCCACTCTACCTTTTCCAGATTTACTTTACATTAATCCCCCTCAAAGACTCTATATTCCAGTCAAACTGGCCTATTTGCTATTCCCCATATGTGTCGTTCTATCTCCCCCTTCCACATATGTGAAGACTGTTCTCCAGGCCTGAAAATTTCTCCCTCCTTCCTTCCTAACTTTTGGAACCTCTCGCTGCCTTCAGAGCTCAGATGAGCCTGTGCTACTCCCTACACAAGGCCTTTCCTGATCCCCTGGTTATTAATGTTCTCTCTCCTTCTCCCCTACAAATTACGTTATATTTTATATTTAATTGTGTGTGAATATATTGTGTTCCCTAGAAGAATGTAAATCCTTTGAGGGCAGGGAGTGTTTTATCTATATCCCCAGCACCTAGGAAAATACTTTGCACATAGTAGGTGCTTAATACCAGCATGTTAAATTGAATTGAATGGTAGGCATGAGCAGGCTGGAACACATTACAAATGAAGAACTGAAGAAAAGAAGGAGGGTAAAGGATGTCATCAGAGAAATGTATGATCAGAAGAAACAGATGGGCTGGCCAGTAACAAGAGCAAGGGATGACTGTTGGACAGTCCTCATGCTTGATTGGTATCAGTGCCAAGTGATTTAGGAGAAGACCCTCAATACATTGTATTAAAGATTTATAGGAGGGCAGGGACAAGAGTTTCATAGGATGAGGAAGTATTGGGGGGAGTTCCCAGCATTGGTGAGATCACAGAACCTCCAGCTACTGAAGAATCAATCTATCATATTAAGGTACCTACTATGCTAACCTTCTCATCAGTATTTACATTTTAACTGGAGACAATAAATTGATTAATTAATTTCTAATGGAGAATTTTCAGCTATCAATGACAAGCTGGTGGTAGAGACAATTTGAGAAAATTGTTGGGTATCTATTCAAGGACTGAATGAAGAGTGACTAGGGGCCCAGGTTCCCATAGCTATCCTGTACACCCAACAATTTCTCCTTCCCTGAACTTGGGGCCTCCCTCAGCACTGCTTCCCCAAGAAAGCAATAACCAGCCTTTCTGGACACACCAACCCTGAAATATGAGCTTGAACACCACCACCCCCTTCTCCCTCTCAGTATATGTTTAATCCTTTCCTTAAGTGGTAGGAATAGTGCTAGAAGTTGATGGAGCAGTTTGATTCCTGCTATGGGATATTTCATGAATGAGAATGAAATATTTTCTCCTCATCCTGAAAGAAAGGATGCGAGTCTATATAAAGGTGTTGGATCACTTTGAAAGACTTTAGGACTCTGCTTGACACAATGACCAACCATGGTTCCAGAGGACCAGTGATGAAGCGTGCTTTTTATCTCCTGACAGAGAGGTGATAAACTAAAAATGAAGACTGAGCCATACATTTTTGGAAGTGGCAAATATGGAAACTTGCTTTGCTTAACCATTCATATTTATTACAAAGCAGGGGAGGTAGCAGGGAGATAAAATAAATGATTATTAGGTGAAAAAAATTATAAGTTTTTGAAAATGGGTTAGGAGAAAAAAACCTCAGATTTTAGTCTCAGCTCTCTACCTACTTGCATGACCTGGAGCAAGTCACTTTCCCTTTAAAGGCCTCAGTTTCCTCATGTGTAAAATGAAGGTGTTGGTCTACATGACCTTTAAGGTCTTGTCCATCTCCAAATTTAGGATTTTAAGTCTCTGGGTCTCAGTTTCCTCATATACAAAATGAAGGATTGAGTCAGATGATCTCTAAAAACCCTTCTAGCATCACGACATATGATTGCTATGGACACTTTGGGGCTCGAGGGTGATTGTGGAGGATGATTCCTTGCTTAATGCTTTTTCATTCATTCATTTGTTCATTCATTTGTTCATTCATTCATTCATTCATTCATTCACTCATCCCAGTATTCGTGCTCCCTGGGTGTATTCAGTCCCTTGAATGTGAAAACTCTGTCTAGTTGATAGAAGCAGGTGCCCAGGTACTGAAGGACATTGCTCTAGACAACACTGCCTAGACAAAAACACGTTCCTTTCTTTTCCCCAGACTCGTCCCAAGTTCTACTGTGAAAAAGTCCAGACTGTCTGGAGACCCTTGTTTTTGTATCTCTAATCACCAGCCCAGACAATGCCCTCTGGCTTGTTTGGATGGCATAGTCCTCATCCCCTACCAGGATCACTCTGGCTTTTGTTGTATTGTGAGAAGATCAGAGCTAGGAATCTGATTAGGAGTCAGTGCCAATGCCCGGCTGTAATCACAGCATCCAGCTGTGAGCTTAGTCTGGCGTCGAGCTCAGCATATCCAAATTATGAGCACTCTGTGCAGCCAGGAGTTCTGCAGCCCTTGTCTAGGACTTCTTTCCTCACTCTTTGTCTTTTTGTCCAGGCTATAGAACAGGGAGAAACACAAACAGGGCCCTGGGATTTGGATTTATTCATCTCTACCCACAGCTGAATGACAAGGCTTATCACATGTTCCAAAGGACCAAACTAGATAAACATTCCATTCTGGATCATTATTATCCCCCCCACCCCCGCCATGCCCCCGTCCCATCCCCTCTGCCCTTCCCCTTTTCATTCCTTTCCCTCATGAGATATAACTGTCTCTAAGCTGGTGGGCAGCTGCTCTCCTAACCATATAGCAATAGCCCTTCCTGTAGGATGGAAAGGGACTTGCTTGGTGCCAGGTTTAAGATAATCAGAGGCCCATCATGTCTCCCTCCCCTTCTTCCTCCTGGTCAGGAGGCCTAGGTAACAGAGAAATGTGGACCTCATTGACCTCTGTGTCCAATCGTCTTCCTCCCCGTGGAGCCTCCAGATGAAGAATACCGTCATGGGAGAGTGCAGCCCTAATTCGCCAGGGATCGACATCAGCAGGCAGGACATAGGTACGGCAGAACTCACGAGAAACAAAACCGTGTCGATCCAGGCGCTGAGGATGCCGGGCAGACACCTCCAGCAGGTTGTCCACGGTCCTCACTGTCACCTCATCTGGGGTAAAATGACTCACATCCAGGAAGGCCTGGAACTTGCCTTCACTAAGACGGAGCTCAGAGGCCCCTGCTCCACTGCTTTCCCCAGCTGGAGCTGCACGTGGTCGGACATAGTAGCCATGGTACAGGGTGGGAGTCAGGATCTCCTCTGGGAGCAGGCCTAAGGGGTAGATAAACAGAAAGGAAAGATGAGGTAGGCAATGGGGATGTGATGAAGGAAAGAAGTGTAAAAGGAGAATGGAAAGCAAGAAAAGAAAAGGTACAGGGTAGGACAGGAGGGGAAGAGCAAAAGGAAAGTGATGTGCCAAAGAGAGGGAAATGCATACAGGGAGAAGAGTGGAAATAAAGAGAAGGGACCACATATTTAGAGCCCGAAAGGGATCATAGAGGCCATGGAGTCCAATCCCCCTAGTTTTTCAGATAGGAAATTGAGGCCCAGAGAGTGGTCTAAAGTTACACTGGCAACTACTTCTTCATTTTTGCAGACAAGGAAACTGAGGCACAGAACAGATGACTGGACACATAGGTAGCAAGGGACAGGGTCAGATTTGCCTCTGACTCCAGATTTGCCCCTTCACCCCAGTGAAATGGAGAGAGGGAGAGGGAAGATACAAAAATTATAATACATAGGATGGGGGATTGGAGACAAAGGAAAGAAGAAAAGTTGAAGCCAAGATGTTGAAAGAGAGAGGGTACCAGTTAAGGACTGTGATGGCTATCTGTCCAGTAGGATTCCCCTGAGTCAGATGACTGTAGTGGGGGGTCAGTAAGGGAATGAGGCAATAACCCAGATAGGAAAAGTCAGTCTTGGATGAGAGATGCTCAGTCTCAGGAGGTCAATTTAGTTCAAGTTTGGGGGGGGGGGGGGGGGAGGGTTTGTGAGGGCTGGGAGATCAGCCCCCCAAATCAATGGAGATGGGAGGAGGGGGCGGCGTCAATCCTGTACCTTCCCCAAATCGTTGTTCACCTAAGCGGCTCGGATTAGCGAACTCGTACTCGGTGGTGGCCGGGTGGGCGTGTGGCACTGAGCGACCCGACATGGCCTCAGATGGACCTTCAGCCACGGATCAACCCTGCGGACACAGCGGGCCCCTCCTGCCAGGATGAATAGCCAGTACTCTGGAAAGGACCCCGGGCAGGCTGGGGCTGGGGCTGGGGCGGGGTCGACACTGCCCAAAAATAGTGCAGAGCCTTGGGGGGAGTGGGGGAAGGGAAGCTTTGTGGATTGTGCCTTCCCTCCCCCTCCAGTTCCCTCTGGGATCCGGTTGCTCAGCTGTTCAGCTGCTCAGCTGGGTTGAGTGAACTGGATTCGGGTCCAAGGAGGGCAGGAGACTCATCATTACCGGAGTCTTCCCCAACTCTTGTCTGCTTCCCAGATGACAGCACCCTAAATCCCTTTGCATCTTCCTAAACCCAATCTGCTAGTCATCTGAGAGCTAAATATCAAGTATCATCGGTTCAAACTAGATGGAATCTTAGAGGACATCCTGTCCAACCTCATTTTACAGATGAGGAAACTGAGGCCCAAAGAAGTGAAGAGATTTTTTTGCCCAAGGTCACAGGGATAGTGAGTGTATGAGGCAGGATTCAGACTCAGGTTTTTCTCACTACAAAACCAAGGTACCACCTGCTATACCAGACTGCCTCTCAAGGAGACAAGACTGAGGTCTTATGGCAGTCTCATTTCTTTTCAAAACCTGGATTCTAATCTCTGCTCTGCCATCCTTTTTATCTAAAATTCTGTAATTTTATAAGCATGTTTTCCCCCACCAACACCTCCTGCCCTATTTCCTTTCCCCTTCTACCTAGGGCAACACACAAATGTGTAGACAATGACATAGCTGTGACCACTGGTCTTCTTTCTCCGAGGAGTCACAAAGAGTTAATGTCCTTGGGACCCAGCCCAGGCAGATTCCTTCCCTGCCAGTCTCTGCCTGGGCCCAAGATAGTTGCTGGCCTGATCCCCCTGGCATGTGAGACTATAGTGGTAGGGGGAAGGGCAAGCTGCTTGGGATTCCTGACTCTGCCTTAGCAAAAGGGGAGGGAGAACCAGTGTTGAGAGATAGCGGGTTGGGGTGGGGGGTGGAACAAGGGGCGGAGAAAGCACCCATATTTGGAGTCCAGGACTAGTCACTTGCCAGCTCAGACATGTTTGTGTTTCTCTTTTCTTAGCTTGGTGAGTACTGGGTGTGTGTCACAGCCAAATCCCTGATCACCAGTCCTCCATGAACTGGGATAATAAAACTCCTGACATCACCATTCCAGAAACTTCACGGGTGCTGGGTATATAAGAGCCTAGCTGGAGCCTGGGCTGAAGGAGCTGCCCAGCCAGCCGTACCCCACAAACTTTTCTAGCAACCATGGACATCGCCATCCACCATCCTTGGATCCGACGCCCCTTCTTTCCTTTCCTCTCACCCAGCCGAATCTTTGACCAGTTCTTTGGCGAGCATCTGCTGGAGTCCGACCTCTTCCCTACCTCCACCGCCCTGAGTCCTTTCTACTTTCGACCTTCTTTCTTCCGAACACCTAGCTGGCTTGAAACTGGGCTCTCTGAGGTAAGTTTTCCCTCTGTCAAGCAATGGGCAGGTTCTTTGGGCATCATTCTTGGTGCAATCCACCTCTTTGAGCTAGTAGCTTCAGCTTTCCCAACAGAATATCTCATACCCATTTATAGAACAGATGTGTAAAGCATCTGTGCCTGGTAGTGTAGAAAGATGAGGTCACCACCAGTTTCTCAGCAAGTCTGGTTCAGTTTATTTTAGACTCTCTGTGAAGGACAAGGTCAAAATATCCTATTAATAAAATCCCTTAGGTCCCACTGAGGTCATCTCATTTGCCCCCTGGGTTCTGAGCAGTCCCTAATCTGGCTTTAAGAGATAGGGGTTACTTTTTTGCTTTAAAGTATCTAGAAAGAAGTAGCCCTAGCATTCCTTGATCACCTGTTCTGGTTCCTTACAGCCCTTTTCTGACAATTTATTTGTTGGTTTTATTTTAGTTGTGTATGCTTTCTTCCAGGATTCAGGGGCCCCTGACCTTACTCTTAGCTTCCCCGTGTAAGACCATAAAAAGTAATTGTTTCCCTCCTGCCTGTCAACTTCTTAGCAGTGATTGTTGGGTTTCTTTGAGTTAGGAGGGAGTATTAGTCTGGGCTTAAATATAAGGAAGGGGTACGGCCATCTTTTCAGTTCTTAGCTCAAATTCTGGACCTCTGTCTAAAACTCAGGCTCTCTGCTCTGCTTTGGAAGAGGAAAGAAGAGAGAAGGTGAATAGACTAGGTTGTCAGATAAGAGCTGGGTCACAAACAACACCCTCATTTAAAAATACTGAAGTATGAGTAAACAGGAGCCCATGAGGGAGTGGGCAAGGGCATTGAAAGGGCAAGCTGGGTGGTTTCTAGATTAAGTGGGTGGGAAATTTGGCAGTCCTGAGGAGCAGGCAGAAGAAGCCTTTGTTTTTACAGATAAATATCCTGGGGCTTGGAGGTTTGCATCTGGCAAACTGAGAGGGGTGGGGTAGGTTGTGAATGTGAGAATTATAACCCGGCCCATCTTTTGTTTAGTGTAGACATACTGTGGGCATCCTGACTCACACTTTGGGCATCTTTAAGGACATCCTGGCTTTTCCCCAGGCCTATATGATCAGTTAAGGGTTGGGGGCCAAGGCTCCCATGAGCCAGAGAGCTATGATTTTGTTTTTTTAAGGAAAGGTATTTTCCCAGGGGGTGGGGCAGAAGGTGGGAGAGGGAAGGGAAGGAGAAAGAAGGATATAGGTTTGCACATGTGTTTTATCTTGGCTAGAGAGAGAGAGAGAGAGAGAGAGAGAGAGAATATTTTAACTTCCTTGTCCTCCCCTCCCCTGAACTTTCTCTGATATCTCTAGATGCGACTGGAGAAGGATAAGTTCTCAGTAAACCTGGATGTGAAGCATTTCTCTCCAGAAGAGCTCAAGGTCAAAGTGCTCGGCGATGTGGTCGAAGTTCATGGAAAGCATGAAGAGCGTCAGGTATCTGGCATGTCCCTTATTGGCAGCCTTACCCTACCCCCTTGCTTTGAATAGTCACTCTTCTGCTGTGTCTAGGGGGAAGGAGGAACTGCTATTGGGGGTGGGGGGTGGGGGAGAGACAGGGGAGAGAGAAGAGAAGGATTCCTGAAATTCTTAGAGCTGGGGGAGTGAGTATATCCCAGGTAGAAACCATGAGGTTGTCAGGGTATTCAAGGAACCCATCATTCATTCCTTCTCTGAACTTCTGGTTCTAAGTTTTAGAGCTATGTTTAACTCCCTGAACACTAAGACCATGTGAAAATCACCAGAGAGGCCACTTCTTAATGAAGTTTTGAAGGGTCAGAGAATATGAGGGGCTAGCCCAAGGCCTTGTCCTTTGGATCTTAAACTCTGGTGCAGTCTTTCCTTATTAAGAAATAAATATCAGTTCCTGGAGGTTTTTGATGCACCTTCTCTTCTATTACCTGGTAACTAATCCCAAACTCTAGGCATTGTGGCAAACTGCATTCAACACACCCCAGTGTAGTCCATTTCTGCCCAAATGTTTTGGGTTGGAATCAAGGGCGTGCTGGTAACAACCAGCTCTCCAGAAAAAAAAATGTATGCAGGGTACATTTTGAAATTTAATCTGCATTACTAACATTTTTTCCCTATCACTTTCTTAAGTCCAGTCAAGCAAAAAAAAGAAATCAAGCCCTTATTTGTAGATATAAAGACTCACACTATAAATTTTACAATCAGCTCTTAGGAGCTGGTTCAAGTTGGCTCCAGCATACCCCTGGGTTGGAATGATATAAGATCAAATTGAAGATATACAATTGGAACCTGTTGGTTCTACTTGCTCTCTGTCATTCCCAGTGCCAAGCAGACCAGATGAGTTGTAGCTTTTGTCTGTGGTTCAATACACCAAGGTTAGCCCTGGGAATCCTAAATTCAACTAGGCTTTTGGGTGTGGTGATCTAAACCCCTAAGGAGATCTCAGAAACATTCCAATCCACCATGGATTTGGGGATTGGGGCATATTTGGGTTGGTCCAAACCTCTCAGTGCTTCTGCTGAAGGAGTAACATACCCAGGGAAATCTTGCTTGGCTCCAATCTGAATCCAAAAACCAAACTAACTTCCCAGAAGTGCTTGACATACCTACCCAGTACTCAGGGGCAGTGAGGAACGGGGGTGGGGGGGGGTGTGAAAATGTGACTAGATTATGAGCAAGTGGTGATGCTGCTCTAATGGTTTTTCTTCTTGTCCCTCCCTCTCTTTCCCTCTTTTCCTTTCTCTTTCTACCTTTGTCTCTCCTTACCTTGGACCAGGATGAGCATGGCTTCATCTCCCGGGAATTCCATAGGAAGTACCGAATCCCAGCTGATGTGGACCCACTCTCCATCACCTCATCTCTGTCATCTGATGGGGTCCTTACTGTGCATGGACCAAGGAAACAGGCCACTGGCCCTGAGCGCACCATTCCTATCACTCGTGAGGAGAAGCCTGCTGTTGCTGCAGCCCCGAGAAAGTAGAGGCCCCTATCCCCTAAATTGTGTTTTCTATGGCAGGAAAGCTTTTTCACCAGTAGGGGTACAATCCCTTATGACTGGTGCCAATGCTAATTTATTTATGCTGAGGGCAGAGCCCAAATTACTAGGCCAATAAAATGATTCAGCAACAAGCAATTGTCTAATCTTTGAATGTCCATGGTATCTCAGGATCTTTAGTAAAGGTTCATCTAGTTACCTGCAAAGAATGGGTATAATTATTACCCTGAGTTTCAGGGATTTGCATTTTAATTTGTAACTAAGATTTTCTAGTAGATCCAACAAATCTACATCCACTTATCATTCACTAAATTCAATAAGCACCTTATTAAGCTCGAATTTAATGAGCAGAGCACTCTAGCAGTGTTAGGTGCTAGGGGTGATACAAAGATAAATAGATGAAACTTATAGGAAGGAGATAACATATACCTACATAACGATAATACAAGCTAGAACATGATGAGTTGCTAAGTCAGGTACAAAGAAAATGCTACAGAAGGTCTGGGGCAGGAAGATTTTCCAGCTAGGTTTGGTCTGAGAAAGTTTCATGGAAGAAGTAGTGGTTGAATGTG